TCTCAATTTTCCCCTCTCCAGTTACCCTGGAGAGGCGGGAATTTATTTGTCTTTTGGGGTACATTATGTCCAACTGCAGCCGACAACTGCAGCCGATTTGGCGTGTGTAGTTAGGGAAGGCTTTATTACTTACAAACTAAAATAATCTTGTAACTATAACTATATACATTACCACTTTGGGGTTTGTTAGTTTTTAGACTTTTTTTAATTATTTAATTAGGAGTTCTTGGAATTGTTCTGTTTTCTTATTTTAATTTTGTTCTCATTCGCATTCACACTTATAATAATTATATTTACAAACGCATTCATTCATTCATACAAACACACACTTCACAACACGCCTGCTGCTCCTGTGGCGGTGCCCGGCTTTATTCCGCGGCCCCGCATAGCCCCGCATAGCCCCGCATAGCCCCGCATAGCCCCGCATAGCCGCGCATAGCCCCGCTGCTCGGCTGCCGCTCCACCCGCTGGCCGCTCGTTCCCCATTGGCCGGCGCCTTTGCTGGACCGCCGCTCCGGCAAACTTCGGGGATGCTGTTTCGCGCAGTTGTCTCGGCGCGTTTTTTGAAATGCCGCATTCAGCCGCAACACACATAATAAGTTCGAGTGTGCAATTTGGCTTGAAGCAATAATGCTGAAATGGAAACCTATAAGCATGAATACAATCACGTGCTGTAACAGTGAAGACTGGTGAAGTACACATGGGCGGGGCACATGTGATCTGCCTGGCAAGGACGCTATAGTGCCCAGCAGCTTGGATTTGCCGTGATTGATTACTAGAAACCGCAGACGTTGCATTGAAAGCTGCGGGCAGGCATTGTAGCACGATAAACGTGTTGCTAACACGTGTGTTTTATCACACCACACATACTTTAATAACTGTTTACAGTGGGGACACATTTACAGATTATGTCGGCATGAATTCAACACATAAGAAATTACAGTACAGTACAATGTAGTTAAGCACATGGTTCACTGAGCACATTTAACACAACTGATGAATTGCAATATGTACTAAGTTTATGTTGAGATAATGTGTTACATGAACTCATCTATTAATAAAAAATGTTATGTAGTATGAACTTACGTGCACTTGAATTCATCACTTAAAGCACACTGAATATGTAATACTTCTGAGATTAATCACTTTCCACATTGTAACTTGAAGGTAATGTGTCTACAAGCTTATGCATAGAATGTAACACACATGGAGCCATAAGGTTAATTAGGAAAAACGTAATTGCATGCGAGAGCAGTTATGAGAACATGTGTGCACTTGCCGAAGACATGACATGAGAGCAGTTGCGAATTAATTGCCTCCACGTTATCACTGGAGGGTGATGTGTCTATGAGTTATGCACAGCACGTAACTCACAGCGCCGTGAGGCTAATTATGAGAGTATGTGTGTGCAGCGTGAGAACACTTGCACAGTCCGGCATGTTGAATGCCAAAAGAGCCACGACATGACGCGATAGTGTCTTGACAGGTTGAAAACTTGACATGCTTGCACTGCTCAGACAGCATTCAGAAGGGAACACGGGGCGGGCTTACGTGCGTTCGGCCGAGATTGACAAAGTTTGGCACGAGTGGGGATTGCTGGCGGCAGTTCCCCACGCTCGCCCGCTGATAGCGCAGGCGATGAGCTGAATTAATTGACAAATGCAGATGCCGTAATGTGGCGCAATCTGCGGTTAGCATCAGAGCTTATTGACATAGCCGTCGAGAGCTTTGAACATAATGAGCGTGCCTGTCTCGTAAAACACAGAGTGTGCATTTGTATATGGAATAAATAGCTGGCTATCCAGCGAACTCTAACTGGTTTTGTGGGCCCTTGATTGAGAAATATTCTGCTTGTCTCTCCGTCTGTCTGTCCGTCGCGTCCAGAGTGTTCATCTGTTCTTTAGCCTGTCTGTCTGTCCTCTACGAATATCCATTGTCCATCTGGGCTCTTGAGGCCGATGCTAGGCATAAACCATTCAAACGATTCTCTCCAAAATTGATATTCCCCGATCGGTCTGGCCAACCACGAGGCTCTACAAATTTGAAATTGATATTTCGAATTTTGGAGGTACTTTTACATGAAGCGGTAACATTTTCAAAATGTCCTCAAAACTTGATCCATGTTTTTGATTAAGTATAGTGCATGGAGGCACTACATTGATTGCAATATCTATCCAGAATGAATTAATTAAATTGAAAAGTGCTCTTCGCGGGAAGTTTGGAACGGAAAATTCAAGTTCTATTTCAAGTTAAAAAATTCAAATATGGAGCTATATTTGAGAACAATCTTATAAATTGCATCAAATTAAATAAAAACAATACGTGAAAATTACTTTTTTGGTTTAAAGAAATTAATATGATAGCCTATAAATATAGATTTTTAGAAGAGATTTCATTAAAGAAAAAATCTCAATCTTTAACATTGTTCAGCAATACTAAATTTGTGCTATTTTTATAAATAAAGATTTTGTCGAAAAAAGGAAATAAACCCATTTTTCCTGATCTTTGATACAAAGGAGAAAATGTAGAGAAAAAATGGTCGACGTTTCTGAGGAATTAGTTGTTTAATTCAATAAAACTAGTGGTGCTAAAACAGCACGTACTTTTACGCAAAATAACGCTAAAAGTACCCAAATTTTCGAAAAATTGTACGTAACCTTATTTCAAAATCTATTTTTAAGCAACAGATTTTATTAAGATAAAAGTCTCTATCTTTAAAATTTTAGTTGTAGGAAGGCTCAAAAAAAATTTTGAACTTCTGAAATTTTCGAAATTTGTTTTCGAAACTTTCGAATTTTTTGAGTTTTTGACGAACATGAGACCTTTACCCTTAAACGTCGATTATAATTAGAATGATTTGTTCGTTGTACACATTCCTGCATACGCATTGCACAAGGCTGCATGCGCATGCAGTTATGAAACATTTTACAGAAATGATTCGTACTGAACCTGACTGTATTGATGTACGTGTCGAAATAAATATAATTGATTTTATAAATAAGTTGCTTGCACGAACAGTCGTATTATTTATTAACTTTTAATTATTTTACTTTCTCTCATTATGCTTATTTTTCGCACCAAATGTTCTACGATTTCAAAAGAGTTTTACAAAGAATAATTCGGAGAAAAATTGTGGTATAAATAGAATTACATAATTACATAACCATTACTAATGTCGAGAAAGTACGTGCTGTTTTAGCACCACAAGTTCACGTTTTTGCTCTTACGAATGTAAGAAGAGAAAGTATTCTAATCCTGTGCGGGAAAAAGGCGAATTTTTCACATAAAATCTTATTGTCGGGCCCTGGTAAAGAAAACGTGGATAAATCCTGGTCCTATATATAGTAAATTACTTCCTCTAACCCGTGGTGAAGCCAGAATCTATGTTTAGCGTCTTTGATTCCAAAAAGTCGATTGACAGCAAAAGTTTGACTGTCCGCGAATCGCCTAAACCGTTCTACCGATTTTCTCCAAAATTGATATTGCCCGATCGACATGAACGAACTCTAGGCGTTTGGAGTTTCAAACGGATATTTTGATTTTGCAGAATATTGTACATGAAGCATCAAAAAAAGTTCAGAAATTAATTAAGAAACAATTTTCTCAAAAACGGCACCATGTTTTTTGATTATACATGGTTCTTGAACAGCATAAAGGAGGTTTAAGATAATGGTGCAGGTAACATGTTCGTTGAAATCTCTGATTTTTCGAAAATTGCAAAAGTGTGAGAGATTATTTTTCTTAATGGAATATGTTTTCTAAGACAGATCTTGAAATATGGTCATGATCAACTTTATTTAAAAAAATTAGTTTCAGTGCAAATTTTGGCCGATATATAGACAAATTTTAATTTTTTAATACATTGACTGCCACAATAATCAAGAAAATGAGGAACCTTCTGCCCGAGCCCTTTTTATCCGTCTGTAGGTTAGAGAAGAGCTAATTGGTTATTCTCGAATGTATATCTTTGTAAAAAATATTAATTTTGTACTGCTGTTCGAAGAAACTTCTTTTGATTCTCGCGGTCTTTGCACATTTTACAACAATGGCCGTTTATCATACGCTGATTCTTAAGAGCACGTCTCTTCTTATTCTTAATTCTTTTGAAGTTCACACGTGTAAAAAACAATAGTTAATAATATGTAAACAAAGTTTCCACGTTTTAATAAAATTCACCTCATATTTTATTTAGACTTTTCAATCAAAAACAATGGCCGTGTGAATAAGATACAACAATAACCGTGTGAATCATACGCTGATTCTCAGAAGCGTGTCTGTTCTTGTTCTAAATTCTTTTGAAGTTCACATGTGTAAAAACAATACTTCTTGATAATATGTAAATAAATTTTCATATTTCAATAAAATTCACCTCTTATATTTTATTTATATCTTTCAATCCAAAAAACCTTTCCCAGAAATCAGGCAATGAGAATCAACACTCGATTCACTTAGGTGAACGCCAAAATGATCATTGTTACAGCCGTATATTTTAAGCTCCCTTAACAAA